TATCTTATCGAAGACTCCTGTGGATGCCTGAAAGCACAGCTCTTTTGTCTATGTTTTTCATATATGGTATACACACACACACACACACACACACACACACACACACACACACACACGTGCATACACGCACACACATGCTCATGTATACATGTGTGCAAGCACTAGAGTTTAAAAGAAAGCACAGTGAGAGCTTACCAATAACCAGTAACAAAATAGAACATTAAAACATTTAAAAGCATTTATTTATTTTTATTTATGTTCATGAATGCTTTGCCTGCATGTATGTGCACCATGTACGTGTCTGGTGCCCATGGAGGTCACAAGAGGACATTGGATTCCCTGGAAGTGGAGTTGGATAGTTGTGAGTACCATGTATGTGTGTTCTTGGAACTGAATCCTCCTTCACCTGGAACTGGGCTCATGAATGTTTGTGAGCAGCCATGTGTGTGGGGGGAAGTGAACCTGGGTCCTCTGCAAGGACACCAAGTGTTCTTCACACCAAACCCTCTCTCCGGGCCCAAATCAGGACAATTTTAATCACATATCATCATGATATGAGCGTGGTGTCCCTGGTTCTCTAACATAGCTTCACACGCCATGTTCGTGCTTTTCCTTGTGAGGGTGTGAGATGGTACCACTGGAGAGATGACAAGATGAATGAGAGACATTGGGGCCCAGCGTTAGGCTACTGACCTTCTGAGGATCCCTCAGAAGAATGATGGAGAAGTGTGCTGGGGTCTCCTGACTTTGAAGTGTACACAGAATAGGAACTCTGATTTACAGAGTGTCTTACATTCACAGCGGCCAAGGCAGCCATCTTGCAACTTGTCAACAGAGGAAGAAAAATGTAAACAAAATCCAAGCCCTCCAGCATGGTGGGGAGTCCTGTCTGGGGAGGAGAATCAGAAAAACAGACTTCCTGTGCCTCACACCTTCCTGTCTCCTACTCAACAGACTCAAAATCTTTTCTCTCCTTTGCGCAAAGCAGTTGCTGTTCAAAGGCAGGAAACCACGGCTGGATGGTGTGGTTTTCCCACCACAGAGAAAGAAGCTGGCAAACGGGGCGTGCAGTAATGATTTTCTTTGGACTAATTATGTTTAGAAGCATTCCAAATGCAGCAAACCTTTATCTACAAGATGACAAGATACAACAAAACAAACACATCCCTAAAGGGGGGATGAAAGGCACTGTGTTTGCTCTTCCCTTCATATTTCATCCCTTCGGAACTTTTCATGCATTGTCTGTCAAATGATCCTTCACTGCCCCTTGCCTACCTCACCTGTACTAGCTGCATGAGGTCATGCCTGCTCCCAAGCCCCTGCCCCTTGTTTCCCAGCCCCATCCCCTGTTTCCCAGCCCCTATCCCCTGCTCCCCAGCCCCCACCCCCTGCTCCCCAGCCCCCACCCCCTGCTGCCCAGGCCCTATCCCCTGCTGCCCAGCCCCCACCTCCTGTTCCCCAGCCCCTATCCCCTGCTCCCCAGCCCCCAGCCCCTGCTCCTGTCCTCACCTGGCCTCTAGCCTGGTCTCCTGGACGAGTTTCTCTACTGAAGGAGCATACTCAGCACTCTCTGTCCTCAGGGCTTCACACTCCTCCTTCTTTTCTTTTCATGGATCTTGGGGTCTGATTCTCATCCATCAGACTCTCTAAATACCCGTGCCTCTGTGACCACCTACTCAAAACGGTGCCACTTCTCCCTCCATCCTGAGCCTCTATTCCAGCGACTTGCTGTACTTTTTCCATTGAATTTCTAGGGTCTGAAATTGCCTCATTTGGTTTGACTTCATCTGCTGTCCCTAGATTTTTTCCCTCTGTCTTGCTCACAGCCTCCTCTGATTCATGTAGAGGGATGACTTGCCCTGAAGGAGATACTGAGCAGTGTTTGTCAGAAGAATGGAAAGATTACACACGCTACAACCTTTTCAGGTGGAGTACAAGGGTCAGTTACATCCTTCTAAAGATCCCCAGGAGCGTATCTGTAGTTGAGCAGGTTGGTCTATGACTGCTCTTTGTCTCACCCCCCCCCCCCCCCCCACAAAATAGCTGCATGAACACATCTGTAGTTGAGCAGGTTGGTCTATGACTGCTCTCTCTCTCTCTCGCTCTCTCTCTCTCTCGCTCTCACACACACACACACACACACACACACACACACACACACACACACACACACGCGCGCGCGTACACTAGCTGCAGGGAGAGCCATCCATAAGAGGTTGTGAGGCAAGAATTTACAGGAACTTACTAGAACTTTAGGTTTCTGTTCCTCCTAAGGCTTTTAACAGTCATTTTGCTGGGATTTAGGAAGCAGGATTTTATTTTTTCTGGGTTGGATATTGTCAGGAAGCAGGAACAATCCCATGGATGTTCTGAATACACCTCCTAAGTAGGACAGGAAGACTAGACCTAGAAACAAACTATCAGCAGTTGTAAGGTGGCAGCAGCCGCTCATACTGCCAGGACAGGGCATGCTCTCTGTTCATGTAGTGACTCATTGGCAGTACCTAGACAAGATTACTGCAAGGTCGTGTTTTGCGTCTCTCATCTTCAGTTAGAACCTGGGTGGTATTGCTGTACTGTGCCACCACACTGAGTGGATACTGCAGAGGACTAGCTGGGGATATTGGGCCAGTTTCTGGATCTCCTGGTCTGCTTTCATTGTTCTCACAGGTGTCTCTGGAATGAAGTCCAGTGTCAGAGACCATAGAACTAAGGAACAGCCATTCCTCTGGCTCGCTGGTAGTGGTCCCACCCCTCTAATGTAGGATTTATTCAAGGGTGGCCACTGAACCCAGACAGCGGAGGCCAAGGAGGAAACCAGTACACTGTGGTTCGGTCTCAGGTGGGGTGTTACTTTGGAAGGCTGTGGGACCTTTAAGAGGCGGAGACTTGCTGGAGGAAGTGGGTCATAGGGTGCAGGCCCTGAGGTTATCTTACAGCCCAGCCTCTTTTCCTGTCTGCTCTCTGCTGACCCAGTGAGACCAGTCACCTGAGGCAGCAGTTTAGTTCAGAGTAGGCCAAAGGGAAAAGGGCTCATGGTGCAACTCCAAGTGACGCACATATGTTACAGTGGGAACGGATGTTCAAATGGAATGTGAGGTTTGCAACAGTAAAGCCAGGAACACCTAGCACGAGAGACAGAGACACGTGTAGCTAGGACAGTCAAGAGGACTTGATAAGACTCAGTCAGACAAGCCACGAGAAACAAGAGCAGCTTTGGTAATCTGGCTAGATAGCTTCCATGAGATACCAGACTATCTATCTGGTAGACAAGAGACAGACACTGCTGCTACTTCTTGGTAGCTGTGAGGGCAGAGGGACCTTAGAATAATGTGCATTTTAGGACATCTGCAGGGCCAGCAGTAATGCTGAGAGCTCTACTTGCTCTTTTAACTAAACACATCTTGGGGGCCTGCCTCATTTTCCCTTAATTTCTTACTGTTCTGTATATCTCTTAATAAAGTTCACCTTCTCACTCCTTCAAGTGTCTACATCTTTAATCTTTATTGGCATAAGACAATGACCCTGGGCTCGCTGGTGGATATTTGGTGATGGTAAGTATCTGATATCTTAGGCCCCTGGGTCAAGCCCAGTTGACTGAGAAAGGCCATTGTTCCTAAGGCTTGTAAGAGTCTCATGCACTCTTACCACCAACCCTTCCCCACCAAAATGGACTCTATTCCCATCTAACCATCAGTCAGAATAAAACCTTGGCTTCTTAAGTCACTGCTTGTCAAGTGTTTTATCACAACGACTAGAAAAGAAAAGTAATACATAGCTCTCTTCCAGAAGCCAACTAAAAAGTGCCCCCATTTTGTCCAAGAATAAACAGCATCTCATCCCAAGATCACAGATGCCTAAGTTTCAAATGGAGGTGGCAGCATCTCTCATATCCTGAATAACAGGGTTCCCAAGGCCTGGTATCACAAAGGCCGTGTTCAGAAGTCCACCTGAGCTTCTGGTCTATGTATTTCCACCAGGCATCTACAGTGTTAAACCTTCCCTCCCTGAATCACTCTGTTGGTGTCCCCGTTGCAATGTAGCTAATTTGTTTATACTCGTCCCTCTGAGGAGACTGTCTCCCTTGTGTTTGTAACCCCAGAACTTAGCAAAGAACTTGGCACATACTGGGCTTTCTATAAATACCAGGCGAGTTTAAAATGGAGCATTATTTCCTGGCTTGAGTTCACCTCTCAATGGGTTTATTGATTCTGCACTGTGAGCCAGGCGGACAGTAAGAAACGGAGGATCCTCATCTTTAAGGAATTTGTATTCCTGCTCAATAGTCCGGGATCCATAATAGCAGCTGACGTTGACCGGGCACAGGCGTTGAGCCAGTAGTTTACACACATCTTTGATTCTACCACTCTGAAGCCACACAGCTGTCAGAGGGCACAGCAGGGGCTGTGATCCCAGTTACACGTGCCCAACAGTTAGGTCGAACGGGACCATGGACATTCGCAGCTCTGCCTTAAATCAGAAAGCAGGGTGAGCCTCCAGTTTCAGGTCTGGGAGACACTGATTTTGAGGAGGACGTGGGTCTGATCAACCTGGGGGTGGAGGAAGTGGGTTTTCTAGGGGATGAGGTTTTGGGGACCGAGCTTTTTCCGCTTTCTTGGAAAGCAGGAAAGGTTTGGGTTTCCGTCTTCAGATCTGAACACCGTTTAGTCTGTCAACCTTAGCCTTACTAGACAGGCATCCACAATGCTCAAAGCAGATGTTCCCTGTCACGCCCCTCTCCTCTACACATCCTGGGGACAGAGAGGGGACGTGAGGCAAGAAAAGGGAAGGCGCAGCGCAAGGAGGGCGGGCTGGTGAGCATCCCAGGCTTAGTGATCCTGCTGCGGACCACGCCCTCGGCCTCCACCTGGTACCCTAAACCCCACTTTAAACTCCCGCCCCCTCTGAGCTACCACCAATGCCCGGCCGAGGAGCGCGCAGGAGGCTGCGGATTGGTGGACACGGCGGTTGCCGCGGTGACGGGTGGGTCCGTGGGGGTCCCCGCGCGGGGCGGGGCTAGGGCTGTCCCTAGTCCCCGGCGCCTCCTCCGTCTGGGTCTCCGCCTCCGGGACCTGCGGCGGCGGTGAGGTCCGGAGTGCAGCTTCCCCGCGGGCGGGCGGCGCGATGGGTTGCGGGAACTCCACGGCCACCAGCGGGGGCGCGGGCCGAGGTAAGCGGGGCGGCGGGGCGTGGGTCCCGCGGGAGAGGCGGCCGCAGCGGGGGGCGCTCGGGTCCCTCGCCCCAACCCCATTTTCCAGACTGGAGCGTTCCCCTTGCTTCTGGAAAGACCGAGAGGGAGCCGGTGCCCCGTGCGGGGGCGGTCACTCCCGAATTCAGCGAGGACTGTCGCCTGGGTCCTGCAGCCGAGCTCTGCACCCTTCTGGGGACCTGTCTCGGGTCCCTCACCTCCCCTTTCCCTGGCGCGCCTCCAGGCTACGCCCCCGACCCCTTGGCTCCCAGACCCTGCACCTGGAAAAGTGCATCTGAGCGAGTCAGGACTTTTCTGGGGATGGGGGTGGGGCCGAGTGCCAGTGGCTCCAGAAACGAACGCATCCTGTGGGTCTGCTTGCTTAAGATCCACCCGGCTGCGCGCTTAGGCTCCCACTGAGAAGCTACCGTAGCTAGGTGCTCCGATTCGAGTGATAGAGCTTCAGCATGGGCCTCTCTACTGATATATTTTCATGTATCCAAACTTGTCTATGCGCTGCTTCATTTCGTTGATTGGCAGGGCAGGGCTTCGAGATTCCCTGGCTAAGCCAGGCTTTGTATCAAGTGACTTACTGTAAGATTCAGTACTCTGATTAAAATAGCCAATGTTGGCTTTGTTTAGGGGTATTCTCTGCTGACGTATTTTAGCGTCTTTTTGGACAGGATTCCCTGGCTTCTCTCGCTGAATTCAGTCATCATGCCACAGTCCACCCTAATCAGCAAGTGCAAATAGAGCTCTGACCCTGCACTGTTTATCAAGCTGATGAGGATGCCCTGCTAATGACTTTGAAACCTTAGGGTTGTCAGTTCCCTTAGTCAAGACCTTGAGGCTTGGCAGTCATCATCATCATCATCATCATCATCATCATCATCATTATTACAATTATTATTTTCGTTGATTGAAGAACTCAGATTTGAACTCAAGGTCTGATATTGCACATGTTGGGCAGGACTTTGACGATGGAGCCGTTATTCCCTGTATTACTTTTTATTTTGTGATAGTTGTCCAGACTTGCCCTGACCTCACTCGGCTGTGCAGGTTGGCTTTTAACTTGCAGTTCTCCAGGACCAGCCTCTCATGAGCCGGGATGAAAGGCCTACAATAGCAAGCCTGACTAAACTTGCAGCATTTGTACGATGGGAGCCAGCATGGAAATCTGCCCAGATCATTGACCATTAATTTGGTCTATCCTTTTTGGCTGTCGGTGTCATACTTGCGGACTGTTTGAAGAGCCACAACTAAGACACTTGAAAGTCTAGGCCCAGGAAAGTTATCTGTCCCGTATGGCCTTCACTGTCTTGAGTTAAGGTCTGCCTCTGTGTTATGTAGACAGCCACTGGGAACTAGTCTTAGATTTCCTACAGCAGTGACTCAGCTTAGTGTCATATGCGGATGAGAGCAGAATTCGAGCCAGGAGTGGCTGAGCTTCCTTGCAAGGTGGAAATCGGGAAAGTATCACAGCCTCAACAATTGTTTGTGTCCAGGTCCCATATAAACCTATTGCATATGTGCTAGGCTGGAAAAAAAAAAAAAAAGGTTGAGAATGTCAAAAAACAAAAAACAAAACAACAACAAAAAACCCCACAAAAACTGGAAGAAGGTTCCATAACAGATTTCCTTAAAAGTGGAGCAAGTTTAGTGCATTACATTTTTAAAAAGAATTTATTTTTATTTTTATTTATGTGTCTGTGAGTCTGTCTGTGCTATGTGCATGCAGGTGCCTGAGAAACCACAAGAGGGCACCACACTCCCCAGGACTTTAGTTACAAGCTGTTGTGAGCCACCATGTTGGTGCTGGAAGCCAAACTTGGGTCCTCTGCAAGACCAGCAACGTTTCTAACTTCCCTATGTTTTTACATTTTCATTAACAGACCCCTTGTCAAATTTTTGGGGTAGAGGGAGAAATACCACTGTTAAGTGAAAACTGGACCCATGATTAGGTACAAATTGCATTTCAGTGGTAGTGTGGCCAAGCAGTCTAGAAATTGTATTCGGGGCCGAAGATGTAGCTCAGTTGAGAGAGTACCTGCCTAGCACACACAGAGCCCTGGGGTCTATCTTCAGCACCCCATAAACTGAGCATGGGGTGTGGGTCTGTGAAGCAGGAAGATCAGAAGTTCAAGGTCATCCTCAGCCGTCCCTCACTTTGTAGTGGGTTCAAGCTATCTCAAAAACAAACAAACAAACGTGCCCCCCCCCAACCCCAACAAACCACGAATCCTGTTTCTTCTGCCAGTGTTGGTAATCTGTGCCTGTAATCCTGACTCAGGAGACCGGGGCAGAAGGTTCGCTCCAAGTTCATGGCCAGCCTGGTCTATATGAGGAGTTCCAGGCAGCCAGAACTGCATCTTAAGAAAAAAAGCATACTATTTCTGGGGAGGGGGGTGTGATTCTCTTTACAAATATTCGATTGGCTTTTTTTTTTCTTCTTGAATAGATCTCTTGTTGGGTAAAGGAAAATATAGTTACACTGAAGAAAAAAAAAATCCTTCCAAGTGCATGTCCTTAACGATCGCTTTTGTTTGTGAAGGACGAACACGCGAGAGCATGCTGTTCTCTGACTTGCTCTTCACTGAAAATTACTTTACGTTCAGAGAGAGCAGGGTAGGGCGTACACGCTGTTCACGGGCAAGGAAGGCACCGTGAGTGGGTGTGTCTGCATCATCTCTAAGCAGGCTCTGCCCTTGGCTTTGAGAAGTTGTTCCCAAATACCCACCAGCCTGTGTGTCCAGCTGGCTGGTTTCAGGATTCAGTCATTGTTATTTTCTGTTTGTCAGCTGGCGGTAGGACTTTTAGTTTCTGAAAGGGAATGCATCAAGATGAGAGCTAGAAAGGCAGGAAAGGAATGCCCTAACACAGAGATAAATCGGTCCCAACTGTGAGCTGTGACTTTGGTGTCACAGTCCCTAATGACCAGGCTGCAAACCTGTCCCAAGCCTGTGAGATTCAGTGAATAGATGATGATGTCCCAGACCTCTAGGTATGAACAGAGCACAGCTTCTAAAATGTCCCAGAAATCCTGCTTTCAATATTTCATACTTTTCAGGAGCCACACTGAAAAAAGTTAAATAATTAAAAAGGCAGAGAGAGATGAAGGAGCGCTGGTGACCTTGGACCCGGGGGTTCAGGCTCACTTGGCTGTGATGCTCTTCCTGGCTGTGTTGCTGCGGACATTTCACTTTGCTTCCTGAGCCCTGGTTCCTTTATCTATATTGTTGGGGATAACTGGATGTACCCTGTGTCCTAGGGTCAGTGTGAAACTCAAATCAGATAATGGAGGGAAACACTGTAAAATGAGATTATTATACTGCAGTAAAAAGTTATTAGTATGTTGAAAAGAAGATGGCTTCTGTGAATATTTTTCTACAAGAAAATGACAAATCTACTTTTGTCTCAACAGGCCTGAGATCATCATTATAAACATCATTTTAATTTTTTTTTGAGACAGTCCCACCGTGTATCTCTGGCTCACTTGAAACTTGGAACTTGTTATGCTCATTGGGCTAGCCTCAAACAAACCCCACTTTATTCCCTACATATTCAGGCAGATCCAGATAACTATTTCTCTTTTCTCGAAGCTGTCTGGACCATCGCCTTTCTTGGCCGTGGCCTAGTGAACTTGGCTGATATAACAGATTGGTATGTAGTCGTGGGCTGCATGTGAGTAGTCTACACACCACGTTAGTGCAGAAGCGGCAGTATGTGGTCTCTTGGCCATGAAGAAGGACACACATCACAGCCTCTTCATGGTTCAGGTTCCCCTGCAGCCTTGACTTCAAGCTTACCCATGGTCCACGTCTTTGGGCAGAGTGTTCTGCCGCAAACTTTAAGATGGGGTAGGGCAGCCAGCAAAAAAGGATTGGAGAATAGAGTCAAGCTTTCTGGCTGTTGAGGGGCTAAACATGGAGGCTTAGTGTGAGAGAGCAATTGCAGTGCAGTGTACGGTAGAATACACGGAGAAAAATCTGCATTCGGGGCTCACCAGAGAAGGCCTCCTGGAGGAGGGCTTGAGCTGCTGATGCAGATGTGAGACCCTTTTCAGCCTGGAAGAGCTCTGCATTTTAAGGGTCTTTTTGGTTTGTTTTTTATATTTCCCTTGTAGTGCTGTCCATTCCACTGGGATCTTGTTCCTTTGTACACGCTAGGCCAGCACTGTACCAACCACCACACTGCGGAGTTGTCTATTTACTATTTAATCGTGGATCCCTTCATCCTCTTGCCTTAGTCTCCACATGCTGAGTTTCAGAATTTCCCCATCACTCTCAGGCACAGCTCATCTTAACGTTTTGGTAGGAGCATTTTCTCCCTGCAGGAATTTGATTTTTCCCAACGCGGAGCTATCGAAGGCAGCTGCTTATGCTTTCCATTTTGTGATGTTTTAGCACATGTCTCCAGAGAAACCTCTGTATGAAGTGGTCTGTCTGGAGGTGTTTGGGTATTTATTCCAATACAGGGAGCTTTGGGGGTGCCCCTGCCCAAGCAGCCAGGAGCTCTTCCTGCGTGTTTGGCCTCCAGCTCTTCCCTCAGGAGGCAAAGACTGAAGTCCAGGGTGGTAAGTTTTAGGTCCCCTGAAGGCCTCTCCGCTGATGGAGCAAACTGAATCAGACTGAATTGGAAAGCCCAGGTTTAATGGGTAAAGCGCTCCTGGGCAATTCCCTGGCCCCAACAGAGCAGAGAGGAAACTGGGACGCAAGATGGGAAGAACCACATGTCTGTGTTCTGGGATGCTGCTTATATCCCCTGTGGGAATGGTCTTGAGCCTCTCTGGGGGAGGAGCTGTGTTTGGCGGACTTTGAAGGGGTGGGTTTAGGGAAAGATATGGGGAGAGGAGTTGAGGTGGATCTTCCACCAGACTCCTTCCAAACATTCCAGACTCTTTGGGTATTAGGGATGCCAGGGTGCCAGGGGTTGAGGTGGAGCTCCCACCCAAACACAGGGGTTACTCAATCTCTTTAAAAAAA